GTTATAGTGAATTTATAACTGAATGTATTGTAGAGCTAACAGATATCTGGGAGATTTGAGTTTACTAATATACTTAATATAATAAAAACCAAAATAAAAATATGTTGAGTTATAAATAATCATTTCATGTTCCTGAAGGCTGCTTTATTATTGTTTTAATATTTCAAGGAATGGCTAATTTATTTTACTAATGGCAAGGGTATGACATAGGAAATTGGCCATGGGGGCACTGCTTACTTTTTACCTTGTGCTTGAATTTGGCTCAGGCTGAAAGAGAGTCACTAAATTATAAATGGATGGTATGAGTTTGTATTAATCAGATCTCTCCTGGTAACAAGTACCCCAAACAGCTCAAGCTAGCTGAAGCATGTGTTGTGTCGTGTGACTTGGAAGTCCATGATTGGAGTAGATTGCAAGGGCTCCCCTAGTAATCAGATGTCGCTATCCCGGTTCTGTTTCTGTGCATTGGCCTCATTCTCTCCTGTTATGGACTGGTTTCCTCCCAAAGGCAGGTCGACAGGGGTAGCCAACAACTCTGGGTGTACAGCATCAACTTCTGGGGGCCCCAGAGAAGAGAGATCCTGACTCAGCCCCTGTGTTTAACATTCCGGAGAGGGACGCCAGCTTTGGTAAGATGTTCATCCCTGAGCAGGGCCCTAAGCAACCGTGATTGGTGAGGCTGGATCATAAGCCAGGTCTGGCCACAGGAGAAGAGGGCCTGTCGGAAGCATGGAGTTGCCATTGCCTGAAGAAAGGGAGAAAGGATGCTGGTCATAAAAACATCGGATGCTCACCACTGATTTCAGCCATGGCAGTGGGATAATTTTTAGGATACCTGTATCCTAAAACTTCCCAATTTCTGCCCCTTTCCACCAAAGGAGACTTAAAATAATAGGCTTTAGTTTGTCATATATACATGATTCACTACCAAATAGTTGCTTTGAAATCTACTGTGTCCTTTTTTTGATGTTTTTTTAATAGAAAGGCTAGAAGACTATGAAGCAAGAAACAAGGGCAGCTCGCTCCATAACAGAGCTCCGTAATGGGTGCTATCCTCACTACCCAGCACGAGCTCAGCTTTTAACACAGAACAGGCAGAAAATGCTTGCTGAATGTTCTGTTGAATACATAAGTAAATGCAGGTTTTCCAGCTTTAGAACTCCCAAATTTTGGACCTTAATTTGAGAACTTCTGCTTTGTAAGGATGAAGTTTTGTGAAACATTTTTATCATCTTTGGTTAAAAGTCTTCACATACTCATAGCAAATTGTCAGTTTTAACCTGGTGATTTCCAAGATCCCTTCCAATTTTCTATCAGCTCATGAAAATGAAGATGCAAGATATTCTTTACCACTCAGAGAACTTGTAGATTAAACAGAGAAGCAAACAATTTTTGTTAAGAAAAGCTGTGGAATGCCAACCAAGGGCCCAAAGGAGAAAACTTGAAGAACCACTAAATGCCAGGTTTTT